TACCTAGTCCAGTGTGTAGTAGCCCACACAAAAAAGATGAGGTGGTCTATCGGTGGAAAATCTAGGGCAAAGATGACTTTCTGCAACCGAAAATGCCAATATCCAGTACTCTGGAAAAGGGGATATCTGCTTCTCTGGTTATTCTTTTTGAATCAGAAAAGTGGATGACAAGCTCAATCAGGTACATTAGAAGATGAAGATGAATTATAATGCTATATTAGGAAGCAATGCATTACTTTTGTAATGGTTCCAGTAACTTTTTAGAAGGAGGCCATATCATTAAACATGTGATGAACCTGCCCAGCTAGAACTGCCCTGTTCTAACTGGCAGAGGAAGACACTGACCATATTCATCCATAACAAAGAGGCTGGGTTGAGGGTCATGGATGGTCCCATTTTCTTGTTGATAATGTTTTGCTTATGTTTTATAAAATGAATTATTTCATTCCAGCTGCAGTCATTATCATTAATGGAAATGAGCAGTTTAATATGCAGAGCTCTTTCTCACAGCTTTGTTGTTTGAGGGTTTTTTTCTATTAGATGAACTGACCTCTGGTTGCCAGCACTACAATATAATTTTCCTCACCAGTATTTTCACAAACCCACTATTGAAAGATAAGTATATGCACTGAAAATGCAGTAATCTCCAGAAAAATATACACTGACCTATCTGTCCTAATCCAAATGGAGACAGCTTCTATAAAAAATGGGTTAAGAGACAGGGGGAGTGTGAGTGGGTGGGTGATGTTAAGCAACTTATTGCTAGGTGGCTTTTCTTTTTGATGATAACAAGGGAAGATTAATAATTTACTTTATAGGTAACCCTCAGCAAGAACAGGAAACATAGGTACAGGTTTATCCTGACACATTTTGCATTGCTCATTCCTGCATCATTGCCATGACTTGCAAAATATGCTTTTTAACATTCAGAAATAATTAATCAATAAAATGAACTGGAGAAATGAAGCAGAAAACAAAACATCCAAATCAAAATATAAAGGGAATTCAGTTATTAATCATTAGCTATTCCTAATGGTAATCATTAGCTATTCCATTTTGCACTGTTCATTGAAAACAAATGAAGTGTACAGATGTATAAATATATATATGTTCAACACAAATATTTGAATTTAATGCTGACAGTGGCTCAGTGCTTCTATTTACTATCTCTATACAAATCTTATTTCAGCTTCTTTGTCTCTCGTGTGTACTCGGAGAAGCTGAAGATGGAAGAAACACAAAGATATCTATAGTAACCCAAAATTGTTCCTAGTAGTACAATATATTCTTAACTGCAGTGTCTGCCATAGAGTTAAATTATTTGTATGATGACAATTCCATAAACTCCTGGACACAGAAGACAGACATATCAACATTTTTCAACTAATATTAAACACAACAATAAAATATCTTTCCATGAATATCTCATTAGCAAAATATAATTTTTGTTTTCAATTAACCAATCTAAAAACTTAATGCAGATTAAAACTATTACATAAAAGACTTTCAAATGAGCAAAAATACTTTTCATTTTCTTCTATTTATAAAGGTTTAGTATTCTAAGGTACACATTAGTGATCTAACTAGCTGAAACAATACAGTAAAAACATTTACTGTTACGATGATACAATCAACATACTTCAGTTACTTACTTAATATGGCAAACAGTGATCACAGAAATATTTTTTTTCTAGGTCTTTCTTAGCCAGTCCATTGTCTGTCTTTTTACATATAAGAATAATAATTGTTTACTTTAGATAGTATGATTAAAGATGCAAAACTGTTCAGAAACTTATTATAGTACCTTCAGAGAAATAGAAATTTAAAGCGTATTTTTAAATCTTCAGTATTGCAAGTAATGTTGCCCCACCCACCTCTCTGAAAATCTGCAGTGTGGAGAAAATTAATAGCCAAACCAAAAGACTCCTTTCTTCTAGTATGCATGCCAGCTGGAGAGACCAAGTCCCAGAACCAGGATACTATAAGAACAAACACCAGATGACCCTGAGAAGTGGAATAAGGGACAATGAGGAAACTCAAAGAAGAGAGTTGTGAGTTCAAGACTCAGGACATTAAACCTAAATAATCTGTTATAGATTCTGAGGTAAGAGCTAGGAAGCATCTTAAGGAAAGAATAAGGATGGAAGGTCCGGGTATGCTAAAAGTGACCAATGTTAAAATATATGAACAATATAGAAGTTTATAGAGATTTATACAAAGGAGGAGAGAAGTACTTAAGCTGCTAGGCAATAAGGCAATGCAACTTAAAAATGCTAAAGAAACAGTATTTACATTGTCTGAAACGTTTCTCTTTTGGAATACGAATCTGATAGCATCTTATAAGATTCTCAAGAACTTGCACCAGCTGTAAACAGTCCTGAAGAAGCTTTTCTGTAGTTCAAGGGGTTCATCTCCACATCAAAACCAGAGGGTCCACTCACATCATTCACATTCCAGAAAATAAATGTGCTTGAAGACCAACAAATTGGTCAGCTGTAGGTGATCTCAAAGAACTGTTTCAAACATCTCTCAAGTGCACAAGTCTAAGACTTAGAATAAAAAATGTCCAGAACATCATTGCTGATTACATAAAACAAACATGGAGAGAAGCTTAAACTTCCCAGGAAGTCTATAGCCGTTGAATGCTTTTGCCATTGCTAAATTTTGTCCACTGTGAAGTCCAAAACCCCAAACTGCCATGGTAGGTTTTGTTTATCTACACTGCCTTGTTTTTCCCAACTTTCAGTTAAGTGTAAGTACCACCACTAAATCTGACTCAAGATGCCACAGTATTCAAAACTACTTACTAGAGCTGAACCTTAAGCTTTGTATTTAACACCTTCCACAATGGCATACAACTGTAATTCATAATGGTTTAGATAATTTTCACTGAAAGAGGAGTGCAAGGTGTTTTAATCTCTATTTCTTTCCTTAATCCTTTAATATCTTAGTCTTTCGATACTCCAAACCCTGCTCTTCTCTTTAGCTCACGTTGCAAATTTTAGATGGACTGCAGGCTATGAGCCACAGATACTCTGAACTTTCCTCCACACCTGCTGGGGCTGGGCTACTATTCCTCATCAGCTTTTCTGGAGAGGATTTTTTTAGGTCTGCCCTGGTAATTTAAAAGTTGCTCCTGACTTTTCTCTCTTTTCCAAACATTCTGAGTGATTAGTTGTAACTAGGGAGCCTGTTAGTCTGGTTTTCACAGGCTAACTTCTGCTAATGTAATAAGGGTCAGCAAGATTAATTAACATGTAAGACAACTTGCTAAAACCATTTTATAGCCTTGCTTCTAGTTTTTTTTTTCCTTTTATTCTTGTATAGCCATTGATCAATAACTAAATTCTGTTGGAAAATCAATAGCTGGAACAGTTTCTACATTTTCAAATGCAAAGCTGCAATTAATAACTTAATTAGACATGTAGGATATGCATGGTTGCACTGAAATGCTTAAAGAAAAGAAGAGCATGAATACTGAATAGCGTAAGAACAAGCTTTGACATCAGCTTCAGGAATAACAAGGTATTCACAAAGCAAAGAAAAGAAACCATGTAATTTCTCTTGCTTATCCATAACTCTCTTTTGTCATGAACCCAGCACTCCTCCGTCAGAGACTCTGGCACAAGCAATTAAACATGCATTCGGTTTTGTACAATGGACCAACCCAGCTTCTGCATCACAGATACAAACGCATCTCATTCCTGTCATTATAGTTTAACAGCTTAATGACCTTTAAAGGCAGAAAAATCAGTTTCTTTCCTTCCAAGCATGTTGTTCTGTTTCTATTTAGGAGTCTTTGTATGCTTCTTCCAGCCCATCTCTCACCCACATTCACTGCTTTCTCTCAGTCCTCCCTTTGCACGTTTCCCCACCCTCCCCCCAGGATGTATTTCTAGAAGCTGGGTTCTCTCCTACACAGGTCATCTATCTCTCCTCATGCTGTGAAACAGCAAGTCAACCACATAGACACAAATGAGGTACATTGAAAGAAAAAAATAGCCATTTGCTATTAAAAAACCCCAAAACACCTCCATCACAAGCAAACTGATTCTGATGCCATTAATTTAATGACCTATACTTTGACAGATGCACATAAACCAACACTAAAAGGCAGTGCTATTAGAGAAAAGTAGTCTTCCTACTTTAAAGTATATTGATGCATATTTGCAAGATTTTAATCTGATTAAAAATCTTTCACCATAATAGAGCTCACAGAATGATTTTGAAATATATGAGTAAGACACTACACCAGAACATCGTAGACAAAACCATATAAATGTCATCTTAAAAATATTCTCTGCATTAACCACAAGATTTCCACAGTCTGAAGCTTTTCAAAAAGCTTGACTATTTTCTGCCTATAACAGAAAATTACATTTTATATAGTACTTCATATTCTTTAGACAATAGCTAAGTATTTGTGGACAATATAGATAAGCAGAGTTTAAAAAGTTTCCATCTGCTTCTCATTGTTAAAGAAATGAGCATTGAAGTGTACCAAAAGTGCAAACATTTTGAATTCTTGTACTCCCTTTTTCACTTTAGAGATGAGTTAGGAAATGTTTTTCTAATGCCAATCATTTCATATGTGGAAGGTTTAAGCTATTTCCTTCTAATTCAGCATCTCCTTTGGAGGAAGTACATTCATCTCTACTTTTCTAATGCCAATCATTTCATATGTGTGCTTTGTATTCTAGGAAGGTTTAAGCTATTTCCTTCTAATTCAGCATCTCCTTTGGAGGAAGTACATTCATCTCTATCTCTGCTCACAGATCACAAACTTTGGGAGCACAGACCTCCTGCCACATAACCTTGCTACACATCTGCTGTATGTACATTCACCCAGATTCATTTCCTTCTCTCTCTTCACTGTTTTTTGACAACTTTACAAATCTGACTACTTTGTAAACTGCAGTTTCCCCACCACATATGAACCACAAGGGGCAAATCTTTCTTGAAAAGAATGTTCATTTTGACATCAGATTTTGAATTCTTACCGTGGTCTGTAAGCTCAGACATGCCGAGGTCACTTGTCCCATTCCCTCTTGGTTCATCCTGTCCTGTGGACACATAGCTGCCCATAGTGGCTGGCTGAGAATGAATGAGGCATTTTGAAGTCTGCTCATCAGATTCCTTAGTCAAATGATGAAGCAGCATGGAGAAACAGGAACAAAGCTTTCAGCAAGATCACAATATAATGGTTGCTCCGATCTACACAATTCCTGGGAGTTGTATTAGGCAAATACTAAAATAAAATCCTAACATTTTTGTAAATTATCAGTAGTGACTCAGCCATAAGAGGTTTAAAAATAATTTTTTTCTCTAGACACAATGGAAAACAGAAAGCAGAGGACATGCAAAAGAAAAGACCAGTAGTGACTCAGCCATAAGAAGAAGCAGGTTTAAAATATTTTTTTTTCTCTAGACACAATGGAAAACAGAAAGCAGAGGACATGCAAAAGAAAAGATAGAATACAAAGCACACAAAAAATTATGATGCATTCACCAACTATTTCCAAACTGACCCTTTTCTTTCTACAATAGGATGTGATGCTAGAATTGAACTGGCTCATCTTCTGTTGCAGATTGCTTAAAAGCAAAGGACAACTTATTCTGGGAGTCATTCCAAGGCTTCATTCTTACTAGAAAGCCAGTTGAAGTGTTAATATGCTTAACCAAATGAAAAGAACCCCTCAGCCACACCAAATATAAAATGTTTAAAGAATTCCAATTCTAAACATCTTGAAAAGAAATGTATTTTGAACTCTGATGTCATATAGTCAGTAAAAAGATTTCAGAGAGCAGATTTAGATGTAAGGGCAAATTAAGAAAAGGTGACTTAAAAAAATAAAACTGTGCAAGGAATAGAGAGCTTGTTGAACCATATCTGAATAACGAAATGTACTTTGCCTCATCACAGATCAACAGCCCCAACTAAGCTGTCCAGATTTTGATGCAGTTATTAGTCTCCCCAGTTATTAGTCTCAGAATAGGCCTGTGCTAGTGCTAAAGAAACCATGTGGGAAACAGAAAAGTGCTATACACTTTTACAGAACTACACTATACACTTTGCAACAGAAAAGTGCTATGTGTGCACATAAATGAGACCTTCAAAACTACAGCCCATACTTACATGTAGGACGTTGACATTCAGCTGCTGAAAATTATGGGACCTGAATTCTTGCATTCTTTTGATATTTTCTTGATATTTTTCTTCTGCCAGCTGCCTGTAAATACAGAACACTTGTGTTTTAGAATGTGATGTCAGGGCATGCACAAAGAGCTATTCTAAAAGCAGACTTGGGGAAACAAATTCCATACTGAGATTTTCATGTATATTCAAGGTATCTACTCAGGTTTTAATGAACACAAAAAGAGATTCCAGACCTTATTTCCAAACCCTATTATATTTTACCTTCACAACTTGCATAACATAATTATATAATATAGAAATAGTACATATAATGAAGAAATAGTGAATTATTAGTCCCATTCTTTTGTAGTTCTTCCAAAGATCTTAAATACTCTGGGCTTTATTCCGCCAGGTAGTGCAGGGACCTTTCAGCTGCAGACAGGAATGCAACATTTGTGTGCTACGAACTCTTCCTCTGGGGGACAGCTGGTAACTGTGGGTTCCTATGTGGAACCACTTAAGACAGGTGTTACATTAAGCAGTCTTTCCAGCTTCCATTAATACATTCCCTTCCCACCCATCTCTGGATTTGCACTGCTGGATGCAGACCTCCTGTTTGGGAAGGTTTCATTGCAGGTCTTTGCTCCCAATATTTTCAGCCAGAGTCAGCTGGTAATGATCTAGAGCTCAATGTTGGTCCATTTTAAAGATTCATGACTAAGAACAAGGTCTGAATATTAATGCTGCCTTCATAGTACAAAACAAATATATTTCATTTTGGTTTTGGAGGAAAAAGTAATGTGAGAATCTCATCAGAAAACATCAAAATGCGAGAAAGAAAGGAAAATGAAAAACAAACCAGAACAATCTTGCAATTAGTATTATTTCCTCATCTCCATTCATTTTTAAAAAGTGAAAGAGACAGACTTCCTATTTACAAATTTCATATTAGTACAAGAATTGGCATACCATATTACCAAAAGCACCATGCAGAAGAGGTGTTAAATTTAATACTTTTTATACAGTGGCTTCAGTTCAAGGAAAGGGGTTTTTAAAATGAGAATTAATTTATGTATGCCAGTCAGACACAAGTGCTCTTCACACACACTTTCCAAAAGGACATGAAGGTCTTGGTTCTTTGCTTCAAATGTGTCATCAAAACAGTATATTCTGGTTTTTATTGAAAAACCCCAAACAAAGCCTTCCAGTTGTTTCTCATATTCCATCAGAAACTGTACCTAGTCTCTTCCAAAACATTTTATTATGCCTCACTTAATGAAAAAAACCCATCAATCATGTACACTTTACAACATGTCCATTATCCCCATTTGATCTTTTGACAGGACTATCTACCCTCCGAGCTATTAACTGCTACTGGAAAACCTCTGAGGCCAAAACAATTGACAAAAGCTGGATTGCAACTAAATGTCTGACTCCTCAGACTGTGCGATTCTTAACATCAACGGTCATTAAAAAAATGTCTCCTATTGTAACATGTTTGAAAATCTCTCACATACTTATTTAACCAGAACAATGGTATTCAAAGCACCATTTTTGGGCTAATGTTCTCATTTTTTTCCCTACATAAATAATTAGTGTGATTTATTGTCATCCAATATCCTCATTGCCTTTGAGTACCTGAAGACCCATACTATTTTTATTTCTACCTTGACAATTCTAGCTCTCCCATTGGACTGTTGGGTGGGGAAAATTGCATGGTTAGGGCACAACTTACTTCAATTTCTTTGCCTTCTCATCTGCAGCATTTAACTTCCTCAGCCGCATTCGCTCCCGCGGTGTCATTTTCTGAACTTCAGAAAGTTCCTGCAGAGTTTGCAAATGAACTTTCTTCTGCCTGAAATTGAAGGCAAGCAAATCCATCTTCATATAAAAATGTAAATATTCAGTATTTTTACTGGATATTGAAACACAGTGACATTTCAAATGGAATAATTAGAAAGTCTCTGGAACTATAGCAGACTAAATAGACTTTCGTTTGGAAAGCAAATGCCTCTTTAAATTGAAATATTTAAACTTGGATTTGTGAAGAGGGTGATTCATTTCAGGTGAGGATGGAAAAAGGCAGATTCATCTCCTTAAAAGAATAAATATTGAAGCACAGTGAAATATTTACCCTGTCAGGTTTCATTATTGGGCATATTCCAAGTTCAAAGGCAGTCATTAAATGAGAGCCGTAATATGGCTTGTACATTTTATATTGATTGTTACAAGCTGTCTGGAATAAATGAGAATATTTATGTGTCCTTAATGACAGATATAATTATAATGTTCTCCTCTTGAATTTCTCGTCCTAATCAATAATAAGAGTTCACAGGTAAAATGGTCTCCATAGACCATCTCTGAAAGCCAGGCATGAATTATTGACTCATGTATTTCAGCTGTATATATCAGCTGAGGAGAGCAATATTATTCCTTTATCAGAAAAAGGATACACAGGTTTTTATCTCACATCCTGCAGTAATTAAAACAAAAATTAAACCCTAGTTTGAAATGCCTTGGCAGTCTCCTTTCACTTACACAATATATACCTATTATACCATGTATTTATAATGCCAAGTATTTATTTCAAATTACTGTTTATGCTCTTATGAGATAAATTCACTTTGATAATCTAAGAGGCCAGGTTTGTAAGCATACAAATTGTAACACTCCTTCTGGACTATCATTTTGAAATCAGGATTTTAATAAATGAGCAGAGAAGATTCATTATGTTTTTCAAATAGTGAAAAGATATGAATATTAGTGTGAAATATGAAAGATTAAGGATAAAGACAAGAAGACTTCAATTATTCATAAGAATGGAACTAACTCTTCAAGTATAAATAATGTAGACATATTTCTTGTCTCCTGTAAAAAACTCTAATTTAAATTAAAATAATCTCATGGGGAAAAAAGCAATTTTTCATTCAAGTTGAAACTGAACTTGTACAGCCTTATACTTAAATATTTAAAATTTATTACTTGAATGAGAACAGATTAAAATAAGCCATCAGAGGCCTTTACTAGAAGAAACTAGACTCAACGTTTTTGCTTTGTGTGGCAAAAAGAATTCCTGGTGAGAAAAAAGTAAACATAAATATAAAGTAGTAATGGCTGAGGAGAACACCACAGCAAGCAATTGTTTGTACACTCTCTGGGACTAAAGTATTGCTGCAAGACAGCAGATGTGGGGAATCCACTATGTTTAATTTTTTTCTCCTCCCCTTTTCTGCTCTCTGTTATTTTTTATGCATTTTAGTTCATTTTGCTTACCTCTTTAGATCTGGGATTGTAGGAATTATTTGGCATTTTACTTACCAATGACAATACTGGCAGCTAATGCTCTCATAAGCACAATGAGAGTCATTATAAGATTATGACTTCTTGCATATTCCAGACACTTGGGCAAAAATAATCACACTGTAGTACAAGTGAAGATAAGTTACAGTAAGGCTTCTCCTGGGATTTTTTCTCTAATTGATGCCCTGAATTTTAAAACCTCAAGGTAAAGTGACATTCATTGCTTCACAATTTATAGGAACTCTGGACCTCTGCACAAAAGCAGATTTTCTATTTCCTTCTAACAGTAGCATAAGAGCAGGATGTTTGTAGTTACAACTACTTGCTCTTCCTCTTAGAGACTACAACCTTGATTATAGAAAAGTATACTTACAGATTCTGGGATTTATATAAATGTCATTTCCACATGCTAGCTCTGCCAGAAAATTATGTCCATTTGGAAGGTGATGAGACTCAATACATTCGAACTAATGACAATGGATCAGGTATAGAATACAGTATATATTTTACAAAAAATACAAATACCAGTCTCCTCTAGAAGCATGAGGATATTTGAAGTCTGGATATATATTCTGCAAGTAACAATACTGCTTCCCCAAAGCAGATACAATGGGTTTGGTGCATATAGAAAATCTGAAATAGTGTTCACAAGATAGAGGCAAGAATTAAAAGTTTCTTGAAGATTTTCATAATCTATGTTTCAACAAGCATTAAATATTGAATATAATTAATATGAATATAATAGTATTAATATGAATATAATATATTAATGTGAATATAATTTATCTATTCATCATAATATCTGCTAAACCTTTCAGTGTTGCAAAACTATTTACAGTATACCTCTAAAGAGCATCTCTGTAGTTAACTATATGTACTTTGAAAAGGAAGGAATCCTCTCCCAGTTAATTGAATTAACTTGAATATATATATATTTATTGTTTCATTTCACATCAAGGCTTGCAAAGTTCAATTAACTATTTATACCAAAGGTTCTTATTCCTACCAAAGTGGAAAACTTTGGCCTCACAAAAAAAACAGAGACTCATCTGTCAACAAGAGACATTGACAAGTAGAAACTCAAAACACAATTTGTAAAGATGAGAGCCTACAGACACATTGACAGCAGTTAAACTGTGTGAAATGATGTATAAAAGGTTTTGCTATGCTGAATTCAACTGTCTGTACTCAACTTTCTTCCTACCACTGTCAGCAAACTACACTTTGCTTGGAAAAGTTGAAGATGGTCACCTCTCCTTAAGGGAGGCTTGCAAGCTGCAGAATTGGCAGCATCTGCAAAGTGATCACAGCTGCAAAACTGTGGGTCCTGTACAAGAGCAGAGGTCACAAAAAACAAAGGTGAAAGTTCTATTGCCTCAAAAGCGCTACCAGTTCTGGATTGTTTTAATCTTTATTAAAACAATTATTATTATGTTGTTACCTAATAATTCAAAACAAATATGAGAGAGCTGTTAAAATCCTGACAATTATTTAAAGGAAACAAGAAACATTGCTCATTGCTTCCTCATAGGATCACAAACTTCAGGTTTTGCTCTTGCTAGCTCCCAACAGAACAAAACCTGTACAGAAAATTCAGGGATGGGGAGAAAAGGGTGGGGGGTGAGTTGCCCATAAAACCGCAGAGCTAATTTACACAGGCAAAATGAAAGCGTCCATGCTGGAATTTGCTTTAAACATTGCAGGATTGTAATTTAATGCAATTAATTAATTCAATATATATTCGATGCCTAAGAGAGAGATCACGTGTGAAGACACCACTGATGCAAGAGCCAAGAAACATCACTACTCCTGATTTCTCACTGAAGTTAGAAGACAAAAATACTGTTATATACACGCCTACAGAGGCACTAGCTTAATATTAGTTTCAGTGTGTATGCTTTTAGTTTGGTGTCATTTAGGAAACATAGGTTTCACATTCAATTTTTAGTAGGTACAGAAACAGCAGCACTATAAATGATGATGACCTACCTAAAATGACAGCAAAAATCCCAAAAATTTCAGAACAAATGTCATTATTTACATACCAATTGGTACTAAATTAACATCAACATATATTGGACATGCATGTGCAATTTACAGAGTCACATAATAAAAATATTTTATCTGCAAATCTTTTTTTACTCTGTAAATCTTAATTATGCATCTCCCTAATGGGAGTGGTTGCTCTTGTATTTCTAGGGAATAGGTTTGTCTAAACATAAAGCACTATGAGATTGACACAAATGTTAATGACATTATTTGGCAACACTGTAATTTCATATACTACTGCCCATCAAACTCTTAAAAATACTTACACAGCACCAAAAATGGGAGCAGTTTCTTTCTGACAGTTAAGTTCCTTGTCTTTCACTGTCATGTTTGTGAACTTGTACTGTATTTTCTGCAGGGAAATAAAACAAAAGGGACATCAAGACTTGATGTTAAAGTAATTCACAATCTTCAGCTATTTCCATCCTAATATAAAAACTGCCCAAGCAGTTTCCTTCCCTACCTTTTCAGAAAGCCAAATAATACAGGCACTGAAGCTTGGGCAAAAAGAGCAACAGGCATTGGTTTTCATTAAAACTATGAGTAACCAGAACAGTTCAGAGATATATGTACCCAGGCCTAAATTATCTATATTTTTTTTATGCATAAATGTCTGGGTTTTTTATTGCTCATAACATTTAAGAGGAGATAGATTCAGCATATCAAGTGATGAGGGCTTCATTCCCCAGTCGTATTTGTACTATAGCTCTGAAAGTCCACTAGATTAATGCTCCCATCAAGAGCTATCAATTTTTTTTTTCTATGTTTTCCCTGCCTCCATTTTGCTTTTGTAAAATACTTACTCACATGGCAAGTGTACAGCTACTGCTTTTTCTTACATACCTGTAGCTGTTCATCAATATAAGGGGATTTTAGGATCTCTGCTGCTGATGGTCTCAATGAAGGATTCTTACTTAACATGCTGAAACATTGAAAACCAAATGTAGTAATTAAGCAATTGTCCAAACTTACTGAAAAACATGCTAAACAAGAAAATAACATACCTGCATAGCACAGCATTAAGTTTGCTTGGATATCTATCAGGAAGAGAAGGTGTTTCACCTTCCACAATTTTTAACACAACAGACAAAAAATTCTGTCCAGTAAATGCATGGTTCATACAGCACATCTCATACAAAATGCATCCCAGAGACCTGGAAGAATAAACAAGTGGGAATAGTATGTATTATTCACCAGTTCTAATGGCCATCATAAAAGGTCACCAAGCTGAACATTTTGAAATAAACATTCTCATAATAATTTTATATAATGACTATTCATAACAGTTTGCACTTCAGCTGAGTTCTGGCCAACAAACATTTTTTTAGAAAATAGGGGAGTTGAGTTTTGCAGGCCTTGGAGGATGCTCAGGTCTTTCTCCAGTCAGGGGTGCTGACTTGATCAATGATTGACTTGACCAACTTGATCGCTTCACTGACTTGGCCTTGATAGACTAGATCAAGATCATAGAAAATGAGAGTGAGAGCCAGATACAGGCCAAGGCTCATCTAAGCAACAGTTTAAATATCTTTGTATTTGACTGTGGTGTTTATAATTTAATCTGTGATTCTAGAAGAAGTAAGAAAATAAAGCATAATGATCAGAGAAATATGTATGGGAGAATGGATTTCAGGAAAGAGGTATAAAAATCTTTGGAAGTAAATAATGAATAAAGTTTCAATTATTCATTTTGGTTAAAGATGAGGAGTTGTTTTGGTCCATCTGGCAATAAAAGAACAAGAGCAAATAATTTTTTTAAAAAAATTTTAAAAAATTAAAAAAACCCAGAGCCTAGAAACCCAGGCTCTACATTCAGTGCAAATAAGGAAGAAGAGAGAGAATGCTGTTGTGGGGGGAGAACTCCACTCACTGATATATTTCAAGAAAGTACGTGAAAACCATTAGCAGACCATTTTTGCTAAGAACCAACTAAAGAACAACTGCTGAGGTAAATAAATGGTTGCTTAGGTTTTTTTAAGATTTAACTGTCAAACAGCTTTCAAAATTTCAAAATCAGTGAACAGTAAGACACAGATGATAATCTCTACTTATATGTTCAGACTCTGAAACAAGATAATTACTACATGAGAAAATACTTAAAGCGAAAAGAACAACAACAAAAAAAAAAATCCCTATGCACACAGCATCTGAAAGCACCAAATAAAAATGGAAATCAGCCAGAGAGAAGGAAAAAAGAAGGAAAATCCCAACCTGACAGACTGTACTGTAACTTATTTTTGCAGAATCAATATGTTTTGGAAGCTGCTTGATTCTGGCAGCTAGAAATTGTTTAATGAGCCATTAGGAACATAAGATTTGACACATCAGGGAAGCTGATTTATTCATCTAGTTTAGTACTCTGACTACACCTGAGGTGGAGAAAGATTAAAAGAATGCCCAGGGCATTCTGCTGCAGCCAGGGCTGTGAACAGGCTACCCAGGGAAAATCCCATCTGTCCCATGAAAGAAAAAAATAAAACAGGGAAAAAAAGTAAAGAAAAATTAAGGGAAAATAATAAAGTTTCTTTCTGCAGGATTGAGATCTTTGAAATTAAATAAATATCTCCTAAGCTGAGAAATACTGCCCTGGGTTCCTGAACAAGGCTATTTCTTCCCAAGAGAGCTGCTGAGCTGCAAACACCCAAAGAAATAATAGACAAGCTTTTGGCTCAAAACTGCATTTCTCAGTTGTGTTTCTACATTTCTGCTCTAAGCACCTTGTGAGGAGCAGGAGGAAATTGCCTCCCAATTCCCATAAGCAATCCGCACATGATCCAAACATATAATTTAATTTCTTTTATAATCTTAGCCTGCATAAGTGCCAATGTTATAAAATCCTAAAATGGTCATTAAACTAGCCAGCCAGCACATTTGCTTTGACAACTCCCTATATTCACTAATGGGTTTGACAAAGTTCCCAAAGAGCACGTAATTTCAGAAAAATTGTGGCATGACAAGTTCACGGTGAAGCTACTTATGCTCAATTACATCATAAAATAGAGCATCTGGACAGGCTTCAGTGTGTTCTCCCCAGTCTCAACTGACAGACCTCTAACTGCTTCCTCTTAGGAGAAACCACCCTAAGGCTTTTCTGAGGTTTATGTGCTTACATAAATATTGTCATCCTTTTAACATCTTCTGATCTTTTGTAAAGAACGTTACAGTTCTTCAAAGGTTTAAGATCCAAGTTAGTTTTAAATTCAACTTCAAGTCAGATAACATAAATGCATATACCTTTAAGGCTTATATCTCTTAGTCTGATCATATCAGGTTAGATACAAGTTACCTTTAAATTCAACTTCAAAAGTCAGATAAAGTAAATGCATATACCTTTAAGGCTTATATCTCTTAGTCTGATCCTATCAGAAGGCCTTAAGAATTCTTTGGCTTCACAGTCTGTGAGGAATACATCTCTGAATTTAATTTCCTCAATACTCACTCATCAGCCCTTAAATGAGAACTCCTTGCTGCTGTCTTCCCCAGCCCCATGCCCCCAGCCTTCACATTGCTTCATTTTTTGATTGTTAATATTAAAGAAAAAGACAAAGTGGGGGGAAAGCACGAGACAAGCAAGAACAATAAAATGAAAGCCTCAAGATCCATGGTGAGGGCAACCAATTTACCCAAACACAGCAGACAAATCATCTGTCAAAATCTGGCAGTACTTGATGGAAGATGGAGTACAATGGATTTACATGTGATTGTGACATTGCTTTGTCTCTGCCATAGCTCTGGACGCACGGGAATGTCAGCTGAGCCCCAACAACACCAGTGTCACCACAGGGTGTGTGAGGGCAGGAAGGAACACCAGGACAGCAGCACAGTAACTGGGCTGGACTATCAGTGACACACACACACATCAGGGACTGACCCCTGACCCAGCCTGGCCTCTGGGGCTCTCTCTGTCTCGGCTCAGCTGCCGGCACTGCTCCGACTCTGCACCACCTGCCAGATCTACAGTGGGAAGTGCCCATGGGCAGAGGGGTGGTGAACTACCGAACTCAGATCAGATCCCTGAAGAAACTTCTCGTCTGGAAAGGAGGAAACCCCAGACTGTGACACCCGCAAAGGCTTTCTCTCATGGCCCAGCCAGTCCATGCTCAGGGATTCTGGGGAAAACATGAGCCAACTTTAATTTGCCTCCTGTGAATTCAGATTTGACACAAAGCATGGAATGGCAAAGAACTCCAGCCCTGACGTTTCAACTGAAGAAAAACATAAATGCTGCCACTTCTCTGAGCCCAAGTACAGAATTTCCATAGGGAAAAACTGTAAAACATGAAGATTTTCCTCCATCTATTGACCTTGGGCTATAAAGGACAATACTTCTTGCACCAGCTGCTGCACTGTTAATATTCAAGCCAGTTTTGAAAAGCCATTTGCAGAACATTTCAGTGAACCTGAAAAGTACAGTGTCTCTTTAGAGCACATAAGTAATGCAGCAGAAATTAAGGTCTTTCCAATGAACTGAATTGAACAATGAGAGTATCATGATAACAAGGTGAGATAGCACTAATTGTCTTTTCCATAGGATATTTTACATTATCTTATGTATAACATGGGAACACTTGTAAGTCTGAAATTTTGTGTGCAAATTTTTGAGTCCTGCTGGAGATCAGAAGGACAAGTCTGAAGAGAGAATGTCACTTCAGCTGCATATAAAAGACTTGGGCAACTCTTTGAAAGTCCTCAGGGGTCAACAAACAGTGCTGTTTAACATCTCTGTCAACAACATGGACAGAGGGACTGAGTGTATCTGTCTTCAACAAGTTTGCTGACAAGCTGCGTGGTATGGTCAACATGCTGGAAGGAAGGGCTTCCAGCCCTCACCCAGAGGGACCTTGGGAGATTGAGAGGTGGAGTTGTGCCAGCCTTATGGAATACAAGGCAAATTGCAAGGTTCTGCACTTAGGTCACAAATAGAGACTGGGCAGAGAATGGAAAAGCAAGCCTGAAGAGAAGGACATGGGGGATGTTGCTTGATGAAGAACTCTACATGACTTGGCAATGTGTGCTGAGAGCCCAGAAAGCCAAGCACATCCTGGGCTGCATCAGAAGCAGTGTGACCAGCAGGCTGAGGAAGGAGATTCTTCCCTCTACTCCACTATTCTGAGACCCCACATGGAGTATTGCATCCAGCTGTGGGCCCTCAAGATGAGCAGGGTGCAGACCTGTTGAGGCAAGTCCTGAGGCGGTACACAAAGATGATCTGAGGGCTGGAACACCCCTTCCACGGATTCAGGCTGAGTGAGTTGGGGCTGTTCAGCCTGGAGAGTAGAAGGCTCCTGGGAGACCTTTGAGCACCTTGCAGCACATCAAGTGATAGAGAGTCAGAGAGGGTCAGAGGGAGACTTTTTACAAAGGTGGGTAATCGTAGGACAAGGGGTAACAACTTCAAACTGAGAGAGAGTTCAAGGCCAGTCTGGATGGGTCTTTGAGCAGCCTCATCTAGTGGAAGGGGTCCCGGCCCACAGCAGGGGAGTTGGAACAAGATGATCTCTAAGGGCCTTTCCAACCCAAAGCCTTCTATGAGTCTTTGATCCTTCATGAGCAACAAAACCTCCTGTACGGTGGTCCAAGGATTTAATCTCACCTGGAGCCTCCAGGGTGGGCTCCCCTGTAAGCTCAGTGTCCTCTTGTCTTTTGGCCCCTGTTAAATGGGGACAGAGGAAAAAATCAAACAGAATCATTATTAAAAGATTAAAAGACAAGAGTATCAATCAAACATGAGTCCTAATTGGAAGAGTTTTGTGGCTTAAAAAAGAAGGGGTTTGTGGGCTGGGGAAGTTCTGAGTCAGGGCACACCTCCTCCTTGGGGCTCCTACAGTGTGGGCCAAGAAGCTCCTGCTGCAGGCAGTTTCATCCTCATGTGAGTGCTCTTGGTAATGCTTTGGAAAGATCACAGAAGGCAGAAAGCATAGTAGAAAGCTGGTAGCTACTGAGTTTGGGATGGGGGGCTTTTTCACTGTTTTTGTAAATTTTGAGTGTGATCAACCCAAGATTTATGAAAGTATTGGACCAAACTCTGATTATGCTTACTCTATACAACTTCAATGATCTATACGGATTGACACTAGTAACCACAAATAGAACTTAAACATGTATTTTACTTTCTATTTGCACTGCAATAAAAGAAATTATTCCTTACGGTAGAAGAGCACAAAAGGCGGGCTTGTCTATTCATTTATTTTGACATCTTTTGAAATATTCTCCCAATATATTTTTATTGACTACATGTATTAACTGATATTTGCTACAGATGAACAAGAGAGAATCTGACATTAAATCCATAGCAGTTGGCTACAAAGGCCATGAGATGAGATTCCTGACATATCCATTGACTGGACTGAATATGTCAACTGTGAAAAATGGTTGCTACCACTTGAAAATATAGATGACTGTTCTCCACTTCTAGAATTATGTCCTGCAGCCACAATTTTATTTTGAAAAGGCAGAACTGAGATAAAGCTAGAGTAAATTATCAAGCAATCAAACTATATTACAGGGGCCAAATGTTTTACAAAGGAACTTTCCTGGTTTTAAATATTTATTAAAAAAATTAATCTTCTGATATACATACCTACAGGAAAAAAACCCCAAAAAAACAACACAAACACTATGACAAAATTTAAAAACTCAACACTTTTAACTATAATTTTAAAACATGAGATGCTTTAGGACACATACATAAACAAGCCAGATATTTTTGCCATTCCAAAAAAATCATTCTTCGTCTTAGAAGAATTGGAAGAGTACCTGTGCATCTAGAAGATTCCTAAAGTCTTTCAACAGACCTCAGCTCCTAAACTTGATCCTTTAATCATTACCTCAGAAGTTCTGATCTCAAGAATTTATGCCATTTAAATGCAGAACTAACACTTTTCTTTCTACCTTTGAGACTCTTCTAAAACAGAGTGCCTTTTTGTTTCTGTTCTAATACCACAGTTATTCTCATTTTAGCTCCACTTCCAAATACTTTCTTGATTTTAATATTAGCTAATGTTCTTAAATGTAGTTCCTAACAAGGTCCTTCTGCTATCCTCTCAGCCAGAATCACTCTTTGCTCATCCACATAAAGCTTCACAGAAAGTGAAGATAGATGAATTGAAAGAATTCCTTCAATTCATCTATCTCAATTCAACAAAAAAGAGATTTCCCTCTTCCTAGAAAAACCTGAACTTTGCCTACAATCATCCTGTATCACATCAGAGAATGGACCTGAATCTTATTCTCCTTTAAAGTCTCAGATAACCCAGAATAAAAGCCAACTATATGCTTCTTAACACAAAGGGCAAGGCTTCAGATTGCAACATTTGATCCTAATGCCCTGAAATAGTTTTAGTGGAGATAAATGCCTAATCCAACCAAAATAGCACTATGACTACTCACCAAATGTCAGATTTTGTATTATATCCCTGGTGCTTCAGTACTTCTGGACTCATGTAGTATGGTGTCCCAGTAAAAGTAGTTGCAAGATCACATGAACCCATCAAAAGACAAGAAACCCCAAAGTCTCCTAAAAATATCAGGAGAAAAAATAATCTATTAATATAGACATATATGTATTCCTAATTTTTTTATTGTCAGACATGATAAAGTGACTGTACATCCAGAAAATTCTGCTAGTATTTAAAAAAATGGGAAAAACTATTTTCTATAATTCTTCAAAATAAAAAGAGCACAGAAGCATAATATCACAGAACAATGTGGGTTTGAAGAGGCTTCACAAGGTCATCTGATTCAAACTCCTGGCTCAAAGTTAAATGGGACTGCTCAGGTCCAGGTCCAGCCAAGCATTCTCAAGGCTAGAGATTTCACTGCCTCTCCTGTGTCTGACTGTCAAATAAATGTTTGACTACAAATCAAAATGCTATTTCAGACATGATTTTCTTTAAATCTCCTTATTGACAAAATGCCTGCTGGACTGTTATCACATGAAAATATATCTTTAAATAGTATGGAAATCTCACCAATTTTAAGAAGATTATCTTTCAAAAATATATTCTTGGCTTTCAAATCTCTGTGAAGTATCCGTCTGGAATAGAAAAGGAAATTCAACCTCACCCAGCTGGAATCATTGAGAGTCATGTATTCAGTATTTCAGGTATTTAACTTCAGCCCTTTTCAGAGCCCACCACTGCTAGGGTCTAACTCTGCCAGTGACAATCCATGGACAATGGCATTAAGGAGCTTCACAGAGGTGCATTCACAGGCACCCCCATGCAGGGTGAGAGCCTCAGCAGGATAATAAAAATAGACCTGAGGATCCCAGCTGAAGAATACAGATACAGACATAGCATGAGCTGCAGAGGAAGGGAGAAAGGCATGTCTTCCTATCTGACTCATCTTAAGAGCATTACATCTTTTTTTCTGCCAGGAGAATGAGATGTCTCACAAGAGAATAACAGATGAGAGAAACAGCAATAAGAGCTTCTCAAAGCTAAGGGAAGATTCCTACAAAACAAATGTATTACTTCAAAGACAAATATGTATATAGCCTAAGCTAGTAGTTCAATTTTTTACAGTAACAGTGTGGAAGATGAAAGAACTTTACAAAGACAAAGATTAAAAGGGAAAGGAACAGAACAATTAGCTTTTACAGACTTATTTTTCCACCAGAGTTTGAAACAAAAAACATTATAACCTACACACCATGTAAGGACATAGAGAATCTTCTTAATTTCTATAGGTCTTACATGTGTGACAGTAAATCTGCAGCCCCTTAGGAAAGCAAAGTATCTCTGTGGTATGGAAAACATATCCTAAATTAATTCTTGTTAATAAAGTTTCCAAAAGCATTGCTGTCTATAACCTCATACTAAACTAGAATTCATCCACTTTGAAATTATTATTAACACACAGGATTAGTCATCAGCTCTGCTCAGGAGGAGGCTAGAATAGCATTAGGTACATACTGGCTACAGAAACTGTATTTCCTAATGCAAATACAGTAGTCATTCAGCCATTTGGATCATGGAAAGAAAGAAACTAATGCTCTATGATTTTTGAGGACAGAAAAAACAAATACGGTACTCAATTTCAAATTTTTGAGCAATCTTCAAGTATTATCTCAAATTTGAATTACAAATGTCTTAGGCACTGATATAATCAAATTATTTCCAAAATAGTTTCTATATTAAGATTAGAAAATACACATTCTACAGCACAATTTAAATACCCAATTCTGTCCACAACTCATTTGAAAATATTTTTTGCAGTAGGAGAAAAAAATAAGCAATTTAATATACTCAGTTCACAAATGGAAAAAGAAAAAGCATGAAAAATAATACTAGGCTGCATTGCAGTATGTACACAGACTGGGCATGAAAAAAAAAATTCTATTTTTATGGGCAAAGGAAAGGAATTCTTCATGTTTCTTATAGCAATCTTTTTTCACTTTTTCTTTCAATTTTTTTGTCCTGCAAGTAATACCTTTCATTAGAAAAAGGTTTGCACACTGGGAAAAATGACATTTTCATTCAATATTCCTCCACCCATACTTATAAAATATTGTTTATAAATAATTTGTTCTCTATTTGACAACTTCTCTGAACAACACACATACACTCATACAATACATCAGTAAGGAAATTAAACTAAGGTGATATTTGTTAATCTTTCATAAGTATATATATGTCTGTACATATACATACACACACACTTTTACAGAAATCTTGCTGTGTTAATTGAGATTCATAAGGACTTTCTTTACCATTCATCACACAGAGCCTTTAAAAGAACTTGCTTTCACTGAGTTAAATTATTCTTGCACATTGTTGCTGAAAATTGGTGGATTTCAACCTTCCTTTAATAGTATTCCTTTTTAGAAATATAACCACAGAATTTTTGAACCTGAAACTTTCCTGAATACCTATCATTGTAATAATAGGCATATTGAAGTAAAAGAATGATCCAGAAAGCTTTCAGTAGCATATTATTTAAAAAGGAGATGAAAAAAAAAATGTTTGGGTCACATTAGTTTGAATTACAATGTAATGCTATTGTAATCTTGCAATATATTGATGAAAATGTTATGTATTTTATTTGCATTACCAAAAATTATGAGATGTTTTCATATATTTCAAATATATGGGATGATTTTTTTCAGCTTTCCATGATGATATCTCTCACTGCAATGCAACTTATTCTGCTGTGATATGTCTGAAGATAAACAAGGTACCAGCTGAAAACTCACCTGGAAAGAATTCTTTAATACTAGGAAGAAATTAATATCAAGCCTGCACTGTAAATCCAGTTAAAGAATCAGAGAAACTTTTTTATTGTAGGAAAAGACAGACCTATAAAGGCAACATGAATTAACTGGGCTCCAGCAGAACTTTACTTGATGGACAGTGAAGTGGTTATTGAGTAGTTATTTTGGGTAGAAATTAACACTTGAGGACAGTTTCAAATCTGGGCCGTAAATATACCCATATCTGTGCTCTGTAGAGTACCTGCTTGCTGGCTCAAAGTCACAAGAGAACAGGACAAGCCCTGAGCAGTGGGCAGCCTCCTTGAATGAAGCTCTGCCTGTAACAGAATGAGCTGCAAGTGGAGCTGAGGGGAGCTGAAGTACAGCACTGCTGTGAAATCATGCACAGTTAATTTCTCTTCCTCTATCTGAAGAACTCTGCAGAAGAGTAAGAAGCTCTGTGTGAGTCTGGACCCTGCATTATCTGCTGTTTGCATAAAGACTAACCTTATAAAAATCTGTGCTCATAAATTCTTCATAAAGGTTAGCAAAATGATGGGAAACATAATGGCCAGCCTTATTCAAATTGAGGTTAAATGAATCAATGGCCTCATTGCCTGATTGCTGTGGCATTAATTTTGTGCACTGACATGCAATGGGCTGTGTGTACTATGAGACACTACAGGATGGTTTCATGCTAAAGGTCTCCATTGAGATAAGACCATTGAACTGTGTTATCTCTCTTTAACTTCTCCCTTTCTTTATATCAAAGACAGATAAGGATTGAATCTATTTATTTCTAGATAACTTTGATCTCAAGTTTCAAATTTAAAATTTAAAAAAATTACATTAAGTTTCCAGCACAGGAGTTTTCAAAAAGTGTGGAACTAAAGTTGTGCAAGAAGGACAAGTGAATAGTCTATGTTTAAAACCATAAAAATAATTTTTGCTGCTCTGGGAAAGCAAAAACAAACAAACAAAACAAAAAAAAAATAAAACAAAAAAAACCTCATAGCCACAAAATCTGAGTTTCCTTAGGAATGGCATGGGGAAGGACCAACCCACAGGCTGTAAACACTTCAAGCTTCTAATTCTAGGGAAAAGCTTTCTTTGCATTAGAACATAATTCAACCATATATGAGAGTTTTTTCCCATGTCAGTAGAGAAGAAATCATGCATGACTCCTGTATAAAGAAACAGAGGGCTGTTATTATGGTTTAGTATTTCAAATTTCTGTAGGTAGTTTAAAATTCTTTTAAGCCTAAACTTTTCCATTTAAGCTACTGTTTGACTCTGTACAATAAGAAATAAGTTATATACATATAGCCAAATAATACAAAATACAAATAAATATATATAAATTAAAACTGTCAAGTTATTTGTAAGTGTCTGGAGAGGTACTATTAGCTATGACTGAAAAGGAGAAAATAAAATCCTGTTTGGAAAATCAAATTGCTTTAATTGGAGAGCTAACTGACTTCACAGGAAATCAAATGTTATAGATATATTTACCAAATAAAGTTTCTTTTTAGGAACTTATTTGAGAACAAGTAGAAAATAAGTAAAAGAGAGAGAAGAGATAAAAGAGGAATAAGAAAATACAGAAAATGAAAGACAAAAATAGTAACTCACAGAACAAAAGTAGCTCAGTTGGAAGGGGCCTACAATGACCATCAGGCCAAATGCAATGTTTATATTATTATTCTGCACAATGCATCTTCTAAACACAGATGTTAAAGAAAGGATTTTGCCAAAAGAGGACTTTCCAGGGCACCAAAACTTCTAATGAAAAGTTGATAAATTGAAGTTCAAGGGAGAAAAAAACACCAAATCACACTGATTTGGGGTTACTGTGATTTAGTTTAGTTCAGTTAAACTGTCAGGATATTTATTTCTTAATGAAAAGTTGATAAATTGAATTTCAAGGGAGGAAAAAACCCCAAATCACACTGATTTGGGGTTTAGTGTGATTTAGTTTAGTTCAGTTAAACTGTCAGGATATTTATTTCCATTTCCCTCTGTCCTTTTGGCCTGAGGTGAATGCTGAAGAGCACAGCAACCCAAGAGAGTTCTCTTTGTGTCCTCCCATCACTAGCAGGGCAGCATTTCATGTGCAAGCCCTAGATAAATTGGCATTTAGGAACAAAAATGCTCTTGCATCTTGGGCAGCAATTTCACTCTGCCCTTCTCCCTCTACAGTCTGACACTGGCAAAAAACTCATTAGGCATCCATCAGTTTAGGTCAAATACATCCCACTCACTTAATTCCAGTTCAACTCAGGACTGGTTGCTCTTGACAACAGGTGACCTCTCTACCTACTGCTTGGTTGCACCTAAAATTCAGGCAAGCAAATTTTTCCCAATCTTTGCACAGGATGATGCAGAAAGGGACCAGACAGGCATTGCACATGTCCAGCACATTGGCAATAAGGAAAATTACAAAGGGTAATCTTTCCGTCACTGCAGTCAGCCTGCCTAAATCACACTGCAGGCAAGAGCTAAACTCATGGAGATGACCAGGTGGATATTCATCTATATACATTACCCCTGCTCCAACCATGTGTGATCTCCTCATACCTGGATGACCTGCAGTAATTTCTTAAGTTAATCTTTGATGTGCTGTCAAAAGTGACATCTCAAAGAATGCATGTATGTAACTCCACTGATTTTACTGGGAGTCCATCAAGCATATCCATTGGATGCTTCACATTAAATATGTGCAGGATGGGCTTCTTGACTCCCCTTTAAAAAGATAGTTTTGGTTTTGTGATTTGTTTTAACTTTTAATCCATTTTCTTCTAACAATATTGAACTATTTCTACTGTGCTCCATTTTCCATTTGGCTGTGAAAAAAGCATGTCTAAATGCTGGAAGACATTTACCATTGTCCTGCTAAAAGGTGTAATGCATAATGTTCCTGCAGGGTAGATAATTAATTACACTTGAGGTATCTGACATAAACTAACTACAGTGTTTGGTGAACAGAACTTCCATTTCTGTTTGAATACCTCCAACCAGTCAGTAAGTCCACTCAGTCCCCTCCCAAGCTAAATGCTCTCATATCAAATGTCTGTACCTTTCATGCATGTAGTTGACTCCGAGTAACAACTGTATAAACCAGTCTATTACTTGACTTTGAGTGAACATCTTCCCAGAATCTTTGTACTCTTGAATTTTAAAGTCTAGATCTCCACCCTGAAAAATATCACAACATATTTGTATATTTAAGATAGCATTTTGAAAACTTATCTCCTTCATCATAGTACAGGACCCTACTTCCTCAGACCTTCAGGCATCCTATCATGTAGGTATGTAAAATCAATATATGCACGTGAATTCTGAAATCTCCCAGCACCAAAAGCATAAACAAGTGAGGATCAAAATGGTATCAACCAGTCTGGCTTTGTTGTTTTCTCTTACTGTCACACAAGATCACCAAAGTTTCCAACCGTTCTTCCTTCATGTCAGCCAACTTCAGCATCCGAGCAGGTCAGCCCAAACCTTTACAGGCAACACAAAGGAACACGCACCTGTTTAGTGCAATTCTCTCTGTCATCTAGTTGCCTGCCTTTGGAAGGGATGGATCACGTTGTACTAATGCTGTTTCTCTGCAAAGATTTATGATGAGGGCCTACATTGACTGACTATGACACAGACACTTAGGAAGGTAAAATTAATCTGCCCTGACCGGTCTGAGTAAGTTGATTAATTTGAGAAAAGCATTTCCACTCCAATCAAACAATGCATACTCAAGTGGCATTCATTTATTATGTTATAATAACCATGTCAGCATCAAAGCAACCATGTTGTTCTCTTAAGAATTAAAATACAGTCTCTTTAATTATGATACTTCGCCCACTTTCAAACTTTTACCAGAAACAAAGCAGATTTAAAGCGTCAAGAATATGTAGCATATGTTATTGTGATTCTTCATTAAAACAACAACTGACCTTGAAGTAGCACTAGGAATGGAACAATAGGACACAGCAGAGAGTGCCAATAAACCAGAAAACATATCCAGAAAAAGACCACTTGAAAACTGTAATCCAGATATTTGCAAATACCAGTTGTACAACAACACAATGAAAGAAGATATTGAGACTTCCAGGAAACTCATTCTTTTTGCTCAAAAAAATAAAAGTGGTTGTCAGCTGATTGTTTATCCAGTTTATAAAATAAATTAATTTTCCCTACAAGAATGCACACACATTAATAGTAAGCAATGTGTTGAGGTAGCTAACCCCAAAGCAAAGGGGCTGTGACTCTGATTACATTCTAGTCACTAATTACCTTACATCAGGACAGCTTGTTAGCCATAAATCATTATACATTCCACATAAAACCAGAAGCTTTATGTGCCATATACAAGAAACTATTTTGCCAGTACAACTGTACAGTACCATCATTTCCCATCATATCCCCGTATTCCTCTGCACTGTTGACTCTCACCATTTTATGATGTCTTCAGCATTTCTTGGTTTTCTGTTCCAAACACCAGTGCTTTTTAGTGCTGCTACAAAATAAGCACATTCTGTCCTTGCAGATCTATATATTCTTGTGCTTCTGACATGAGTTTACAGTAATTTCTATGGATTTCTAAGTTACAACATTCCAAACTGTGTTAAAACAAAGCAAATCTGTTTTGCCATCTATCAAAAATGTGTTCCTTGACAATGTCCTGCAATTTTTTAATTGAAATGTCTGAATCATCTGATACACTAGGGAAGGATATATGGGTTCAGCTCTCCATCTGGTGCCCTACTGCAGCCCAGAGAGAAGCTCTTCTGGGAACTTGGAACTCTCAGCAGCTGCTTCCCTTTTGCAACTCCAAATGTTCAGCAGCTTCCCTCTGGTGGCTTGCAGCAGAGAAGAGGAAAGAAAGAAAGAAAAATTCTTGCTGGGTAGTCCATTGCATGGCAGCCAGATGGGCTGTGGCTCAGTCTACTCATGCACCTTGAAAACAATGAGTCATTGTTATAAAATAAACTGTTCCAGACAGAAGCCCCAAACCATCCAGAGCCCAGGACTGAGGGGGTGCTCAAACATGTGTCAGCTGGCTGCTGGCCTCAGGGGACTGTGTACTATCCAGGTGAGGACAGATGAAGTGAAGCAGGCTCCAATCACCTTTTCTCCCTGTCCCAATGTGTCCCCTCTTACAATAACACACTGCCGTGAAAAATGCAAAGTACTTGCAGCACCTACAGAGTTGTGGCAGTGAATATTCTGAAGCTGACGGGCAATTCCTGCAAAAGGTCTAAGGAGAACAAAAGCAGTTGGATAATGCACTACATGTGCCCTCACATAACTGCATAGCTTTTTATCTTCAAGCAGAGAAGAGTAGTCTCAATGTCCTACAATTAATTTACCCTTGATTTTTTTGTCTAAAAAAATGAAAACAAAAATACATCATAAAAGATTTGCTGAAGTACTGCTCCTGTGAAACTAAAAAAATGTTAACCAATTTCACATTTTGGAAGGTCAGTCTAACGAAGCTCATAAGGAATTCAACAGTTTAACAAATTAAGTACACATGGAGTTTCCAAGCTGCAGTTTCTATTTAAATATCAGAGTATCAAACACACCAGTAAATTATCTAAAACAGCTTAGCATCTGGAGCTGATAACGTGAACAGGCATTGACTGCTTTAGTTATTCCTTTTGCTCAGATTTCCTTAGCATATGTGTACTCACATCACAGCTGAGACCGAAGTCAAGAGACATAAATAATTGTCTGGGGGAAAAGTACAAGGAGTTCTGCTTTATAATACATTAAAATGATGCAATTTTAAAAGTAACTGCTTTGTGAAAACTGTATATTATTGAAGTCAAATTTGTACTATAAAATGAAATCCAAGGTTCATTAAGGAATTTTTGTTTGAAACCAATCTTAGCTGATAATGTTTATACTACCCACAAGATTTTCATTTGGGGAAAGTGTCTAAGAAGCTCAACAAGTAAGACCAAAACAGAACAAATATACTTTTCTATAATTTTAAATTCAGTTGTAATAAAAGATGTAAGCTGAGCCATGGAGACCAATGTCACTGGTTTTCTTTCACAGGACAAGGTACAGCACGGGGCAGCTGCACTGGAGGCTCACTCCATGCTACTCATGCCAGAATGAACAAAGCACCGTGGCTAATGAATAAGTCACAGTACTTTGGAGAAAACAGAATAGAGCTCAGGGGGGTAGTTCCGTTTCCATGCCAACTTAATGTGTGCTCTTTGTTTTTGAGCCTGCCCAAGAGTAGCAATTACTGCCAATCTGGTAATTATTCTACGCATGAGAGACAGAACATACTAGACTTCCAAGCAAGAATCAGGTAGTACTACATTTTTCTCATTCTCAATTTATGGATGGTTTAAACAGGCATCTTTTAGGTCAAAACACCCAAATCCCACCACATTCAAAGGCAGGTTATAGATAGGTAAATACAAAAGTATACCTTCTGGAAATACTCCCACTAAAATAGAAAAGAAACTTTATACCACCGTGTGCAACTTCGCTTTGTACTGAGCATTCGATGAAATATCTTGTAATGGCATAAATGCAATGATACCACGGAACCTGACCTTTGGGGAAAAGTCAGAAGCACATCCTATTGGGCCAGGTGTCATCCTGACCTCACCTAGCAGACTCACAACTGAAAAGATTCAGTGCATAGCCAATTAATCCATTTTCTCTTCCTTTACCTGCCTTGCTGTAATACATTCTCACCTGCTTGAGGATGTGACTCCCAAATCTTAGGGTAACTGTATCAAAATATGTCATGCAAGGTAGTTTATATTGCCTGTATAAAAAAACCCCAAAGCTCCAATAAGTGATGCTTGTGATTACTCTGCTATCACATGCCCTTTTTTATTCACCTATAACTTTATGCCAAATGAACAAAAAAAAAAAAAAAAAGAGTCAAAAGTGAAAAGCAGTGAATAGAGAAAAAACACTATAGTGCTGCTGAAGTAGGCTCCTTTATTCCTACATCTTTAATTGTGCTGCTGAAGTAGGTTCCTTTATTCCTACATCTTTAATTGATCTGGTATTAGGTCATTTTGTACTGCTAGTAGAGAGAAAACTGTAAGTGCATGGGAATAGCTGGACAGTTAGAATAATCCTTCAGTCCTGAGCTCTGGATTTCCTCAAAGAGCTGACAATATTCTCAAACCCCAGCTGTCAAACATTCAGGGAGTGGCACAAAAAGCTTCTGCATGTGTTAAAATAGTATGTGAACACATACTCAGATTGTATCACAGAACTGAACATTTCAGATTTAATTTTTAAATATCCCAGCAATAAATATGCATTTAACTACCATTAAAGAAAGCTTCCAAGGAAGAAACAAATGACAGGAATGGTACTTGTTTAATTATGCCCATGAAAGCTAAAGTCTTGAAGAAGTGTGATTAGTTAAGTCAAATCTGATTTGTGTGCAGGTAACCCAGTAGTCTAAGTTCATTATCTTCCACAGCTTTTCAGCATGTCTAGCAGAGCACAACTGAAGAGTTTGCTTCACAGTTTCATAAAAAGATCACTTTATGTATGACAGATTTTTTGTGAAAGAACACATTTATATTTAATACAAAGTAGGCGCTTGTTTTATATAAACTACTAAAAACTGGCTTAAATATGCTTAAATTCTTATTTGAAAGCTTTACAACAGATTCCAGCAAAATGTTCTTAAACCAAATGCTGGAGTCAAAAAAATTAATGGTAACTATATTGTAGAAAATCCTGCTTTAATATTTGTATCCACTGCACTCTGGTCTTTGACTCCCACCGAATTTCATTTTATAAAGCCAATGTTGCTGCCAAACTCATCATCCATGTGATCAGGCTTAAGCTTGTAATCACCTCCAAACCACAAGCAAGTTTTCCCTTCCTCATTTATATCAGATTTTATTTCATGCCCCCACGCCCACAATCTCCTCCTCTCTCACCTATCACATGCAAGTGGTACAACTTTTCTGAGTTCTCCTACAGATCTGGCAGCATGTCTTTCTTGTAGCCCTTGTAACAACAAAAGAACTTGCACATAAAATTACCTATTTCTTCTTCTGTGGTTTATTTGTCTATGAGTCTCATCTGAGCAGGTAACATTCCTTATCTGAAAGGAACACACCTAACAAGTAGAAGGTGATGCCACAAGGAACAATTAAAGACTAAAATTCAAAGTTAAATATTTTATAAAATGGCTTCTTAGAAGACCCTATTTTAATACACACATGTTTTCAAATTTCTTCAGTCTCACCTCACAATACTCAGTGATAATGCAGAAACTATCTCGCTCCACAAAGCTTGCATAAAATTTGACAATGGCTGGATGGTCTAATTTGGAGAGTAGTTGTGCTTCCAGATTTGCTTCAACTGTTTCATTAGGCTTTAGGTTTCCTACAGAGATTTCCTTTAGGACCTTTCTAGAGGGGAAAAAAAAGGAAATGTTTATATTAATAAAACTAGAAAAATATGTAACATTCAAAATGCCATTAAAATTTCATTAAATGCAAAATAGTAACATTGACCACCTATTGACAACATGAAATGATGAGGCAAATATGGGTAAACAATGGGAATACATTAAAAATCAAACAAATATGCTAGTCACCATATAGATTAAGCAACATATTAAAAATACTGTTTTGAAATATTTCTCCCACTAATTACCTACTGCACTGTTTTCTTAAGAACATGTTTTCAGTGCTATGGATTACTGCATAATAACAAACATAAACAAAAAATCAAATCTAAGTGATTTCAAACCCACTCAGAGCATATGGTCAAGATTCATATATTAAATAAGGAGCAGCAAGAAACTGCATTTGCAGCTTCTGCCCAAGTCTCTCCATGGAGGCATGAGAAAAATCACAGAGAGTAATATTTCTGTGGCTGTGTTTCCGGTGATAAACTCAGGCTGTCCATTTTTTTTTTCCTAAAGATCAGTCTGTCCTTTGCCTGAGCATGAGTGAAAAATACAAATCTAGATTTGGGGCTGGAATTTAATTATACTGTTTGAATGATTTCTAATCCTTTAGCATTTAACGTTTGTTTAGGAAGACCCTAAATCCCAGGGAAAATGTTGAGAAAATGTAGGAATTTTTAATATTCTGCAATCTTAACATATGAATGTGCCATAGGAGAATTTGTAGTTCAGAATTAGCTCTATACAGAAGCTGAAATAGGGCTGTTTACTGTTAACTTGACCTGGAAAAATATAAGGGAAAATATAGTGCAGGGCACTATAAGAAAGCACATTTTGCCATGATTTTCCTGATGAAATGTTAAAAAGACAATGCAACACATTCCACTTCTATTTAGTTTACCAGTTAACGAAGAATAGATGATAGGTCTTTTCTGAAGGAGATATTGAAGACTATTAGAGAATATAATGTTTGTTTACTGAAACAAAGTAGTGAATTTCCCCAAACTTTTCAATACATGAAAGGCAAGTTTCAGACTCAAGGGAAGTTTCCACAGTGCTTTTAGTAATGTCCCCATTCAATAGAGCATGGTTGTAAAGTACAGTAGTTAAACCTGACAGTGATAAAGCTACAATAATTCATCTTATCTAAGGGGAGGGGGGGAAAGCTGTGTTTCTTCATGAGAAAATTTTTTCCTAAGTCTGAACAATCAGTTTCTGACTCGCAATGTTTGAATTTTCATATAAACTTGTCTAAACCCCATCAGGAATTGTGATGAAGAAAAACATGCCCTTTGATCTGTTTCCATCTCTGCAGACAAGCTTCATGGAACACAGACAGGCAATACCTACTGCAATCTCCTCATCTTCAGCTGATGTGGGCCTTTACCCCTTCCTTCATAAAAATCATGTCACAGAACTGACAAACAGGATGAGTCCTTGTTAAAGACCACTTACTACAAGTTTCTTGCACACTCAAGACAGCAATAAAAGCCTGATGTGTTGATGTGTACGGATAGCTTGTCATCTTAGTCACTCAGTGATCTTAAAGCTGTCATCAGCTGTCAGACAAGATGACAGGTGTTTTTCTTATTTAAATTAATTCCCAGAAGAAGAAATCAAGAAAGTATACTTGTTGTAAATAAGGTATTGGTTTTCTGCAACACAATTCTAATTCATACCCACAGTTGGAAGGCATTTGCTTCTAGAAAGAAAACTTTTGGAAGCAATCGAGATTAGGCATGCCTCTGGTATATGTGTGTACAATGTCTATATGTAGATAAGGTTTGATTTTACTGCATTAAATATGAAGAAGCTAACTAGACTTCATACTTTCTGCAAAGATTTTGGTAATATTTCAGTAAATACACTTAAAAATTTAAGACATGTACTTAAAAAGCTCGGTGTTCATTAAGTGTTGACAAAGAAGTTCTGTCAGACTCTCAGAAGCCTCACAGAGAAAATGGAGAAGACTCCAGATGTGAAGTGGCTCTTTTCTGTTATCTTTAGAAGAAAAACAAGGAAAATAAAAGTCTGCAGCCAGAAACTCATCTATATAAATTAACTGTACTTTTTAATACATAAAACACCTAAAGAGTACTTAAATTCACCCTACTCCATTTCAGTACTTACACAAGTAAATTCTACCGGAATGGGCAGCTAAAATGGGCACACTCTGTGCTTTAGACAGCTCCAAAGATAACTCAAATTTGGCACCCCTGGTGATGTCAAATAGGCTGACAGATCCACAAATAAAATCTTAGTAATCATAAGTAAACAACAACTCAATCTTAGTTAAACCATCCTGACTGCATCTCCTCTCTACCAACAAAATCCATCTCTACATTTTGAAGGTGACAAAGTATTTCTGTTTCTATGATCCAACCTGCATTTTACAGTTGGCTAATAATAAAGAGTGAGCCATCACTGCTTGTAATTCAGACATGGTACCTGTATATCATCTGCTGAAAATCTGCCTGCATTGTGTTACATGACTATTTTTTTTAAACTGTTTGAAGTACTTTGAACTTTTTGAAGATTGTTACAGGAATACGAATTCTGGAATTTGGGAATAATACACTCTCTTGTTCAGATTTTATTAAGACTCCATCTGGAGTATACAGAGCCACCTGAAAGTCAAGTTTGTTCAAAAAATCTGCCCCTATATTTTCTGCCACTTTGGTTCAAGTATTAGGCAGGTTTTAAAAGACCTAAAGCTGTTTGCATGAACCAGGAAATCTCAGATTTACCACATGAACAAAGAAAATAGTGATCTAGGTGGCATATATAGAAAACCAGGTAAAGCCACAAAAATGTGGATATCCTTCAAATATAATATTTAACTGCCCCTTCTGATAAAATGGTAAATGAGATATGCTGATTTAAATTTCAATATTATTATAAAATTGACTTAGTGTAGAATACAACACATAAGCAGATCATAGAATTATTTAGGTTGGAAATGACCTTTAAGATCACTGAGTCAACCACAAACCTCACACTGCCAAGTCCACCTCTAGATTGTGTGTCTAAAGATAAAATGTCAATGAACACACAATTAGAAAACTTTATTACAGAAGCACTAGAAGATATCTTAAATACAGAACAACATCCTCTGGATTTTAACTGTGTGGAAGAAGCCTTATAATTTAATCAATAATGGAAACACACTTTAAACTTTATCTCGAACTTTATCTCGAATCTTTATCCACAACTGAAAGAGCCTTGTTGTGAAAGCATTCATATCTGAAGAGTAAAAAATCCAACTGTCACCATGTACATCCATCCTGGAGGAAGCTGGGTCTGGTACAGGTAACAACATCCACCCCCTTCAGGGTGGGAAAATAACATGAGAGATGAGCCCACTCCCACATCCCAAAATACAGAAGGCAACATCCCAGCCTCTGCAGTGCCCATGCCTCAACAGGCTCACACTCCTTCCCTGGCAACACTTCTGATTTCCATTAGCAAAACCTTGCTGGCTTGCATTGTCACCCTTTGAAAAGCAGCCAGACACTGGATCTGAAGGTGCAATAATGGGGAGCAAGGATGGGAGAAAAAATCAAATCTAAATCTAATGTAATCTAAAAATCCAATCTCTCTAAAGAGAGCGAGACTTAAAGCAAGAGAAAAACAAACATGAAGGTGGAACCCTCCAGGATTCAGGCACACAGTAGGAATCCCTTTTTGAGCTTTACTAGTGACTGACAATACACCACAGCAGTGTTTATCTCAGTCTATTTCCACTGATCTTTTACAACACATCTGGTATTTGTTTACATCAGTGACATGCTTTATTATTATATAATTTGGTTTATTGGATCAGATGCAATTCTTAAAAGGCAGTGTTTCTCAAAATGTACTCTGTTTATTGAGTAAACTGCAATATGAATTATTGCCTAGGTAAATTTGCTTGCTGAGAAGGAAGCAAAAGAAATACAACTCTTCTAATGTCAAGAATAAATAGGTCTTATAAAATAACAGAAAAATTTTGATCTAGGAATATATGATCAAAAGCTGAAGCTTTTAATTAAACAGCTTCATTTTACAAAGCCAATTTTTCAGTTAACTGCCGTTAATTATAATTTCATTTAGGTTTTGAGTAGCCACTATGGAGAATTGTAACATAACCCATAACTGTGTGCTCTGTTTCTATCTATGCTGACCCTTGTAGAACCACCACTCCACCCTGGTAACTCCTCAGTACAAGGACCAGGTGCAATTCAGTAAAAATGCATCACCTCTTACTGGGTCTGTAACTGGATCTGAAATTGGTAACAAACAATAAAATTAAAGGAATGTCTGCCTAATTAATTGTGCTTTCTGTTCTACTTATCAAATGGCAAACAGAGAAGGTACACCTCTGCAAATGGGGACCAAAATGAAGAAGAGGTGACAACCTTCATGCAGAAAGTTTGCAAAAAGCTTCCACACTGTTAAAACTGTTAGGGAAATATGGTAGCAAAGGTACCAAGTGCCTACAGACATGTATGATAACAAAGTGCCACCCACCATTACTACTTCTTTTTGGCAGCTGACAACAACTTAGCAACAAAAACTCAAATAGTCATTCTTTACATTTTAGCCATCATATTTGGAACACCAGGGGCTGCACTGCCAGGTAATTTAAAGACATGCATCTATTTGCTGCAGAAAGAGGAAGCTGGTGAAACTATGCAATACAGTAAGCCAGCATACACTAGACAGTACTACCTAGAAGAATTCTTAGCTTTAGCTAAGGAAAGAAACACAGTAAATTAAAAGCACTTGATTTCTATGGGAAAATCAAGATTATCACACTTCCAGTGAAAAGCAAACAAGTGCTGTTTGGTATTCCTGCTTACATATACATACTTACTCATTATCCAAAGCATTTCAGACCCAAATATTACTATGGAACTTCTAAAATTGAATCTTGGCTTCACATGCCCACTGTGGATTTATTAAAACTATAACTCCTTTTCGATACCAAGTATTGCTGCACAGCTTCTTCAATCAAAT